CGCATCTTTATGTTTAAATTTGTTAGTTTCTAAAATATTCGTGTAACAGTTTTTAAAGTATGAAATTTTTGTAATGGAACTTTTTCAACGAATATAAATTTTAATGTATGTTTTTATAACTTTGTTAATTACGGTATAGTGTGTAAGTATCTTTATGTTAAAATTTGCTTAGTTTTCAAAATATTCGTGCAACAGTTTTGAAAATACAAAATTTTTATTATCGAACTTTTTGAGTGTTTTGCATATGTATGTTAAATATATCTTAGTTTTCAAAAATATGAAGTTTTCTGTGATTAAGCTAATTTTGAGTGAAGTGATGTAATTACATCGAATATCGATTTTCAGGCAGTATTTTTACTTTAATTCTTCTAAATATAACATTTCTTAATTACGATAAAACGTGTAAGCATCTTTACGTTAAATTTGTCTTAGTTTGTAAAATATTCGTGAAACAGTTTTTAAAATATCTAATGAAACTTTTTGAGTGTAATGATGTGATTTCATTGAATATATTATGATGTAATAGTTTTAATTTACATTCTGTCAATAGAAGATTTTTATTTATGGTGTATGGCGCATCTTTATGTTCAAATTTGTTAGTTTCTAAAATATTCGTGAAACAGTTTTTAAAATATGAAATTTTTTGAAATTGGTGACATCGAATACCGTTTAAAATATGGAAATATCGTTGATATGTTTCATATATTCAAGTTTTTGGCGTGTTATAGAAAATACGCTTCGCATTGGAGCGTACAACGTTCTATTATTAATATGAAATTTAATAAAATCGATGTGAAACGTTATTGAATTACGAATTCATTCGGTAACAATTATTTCGGTCGTGGATCCGCACAATCGCGTCCCGAAATTAGAATATTTAATTAATAGCAGAACGAGTATGCAAAATATGAGTGAGTGAGCGAGCGAGACGAAAAATGAACAAAAAAAAGGTTTATATATTAATTTGCATCTAATTACGAGTCTCTCCCCCACATCGAAACCTTCACGCATCGGAGCTAATGGTCGGAATATGATGATGATGATGATGATCATCATCATGATGATGATGATGTTGTGGAACGGATGAATCCGCAATTATATAATAAGGCCACCGCAAATGTCTCAATCGTCTGTAATCGCTGTGCGGCTGATTTAATAATTATAAATATTAAGTTTCCTCGTCGGTAATCCATTTACCTACAGCAGCGTCGTTATGCAAATCGGAACGCGGCAATCCGTTAAGTGGGAAACCGATTTCCAGCGGTAATTATCGTTTCGGTTTTTCAATCAAAATCGATCTCCAAGGTAGATACACCCGGGATATCGACGATTACGAGCTTCTGGTGCCCAGGAAGTTGACGCGCGAAGGATCGTTTCTGTCCTTCTCGACGCCGCACTTCTTCAAGCACGAGGAGGAGAAGAGGTCGAAACGTGATCTCGGCGATGCCGTCCACTACGGGATGACCTTCGGCGGGGATAGGGAGCATCACCTCGAGGTCTATCCCAATCATAATCTGATTGCGCCGGGCGCCGTCGTCGAGAGGAGGAACGTGAGGGTCAGGGAGGCTGTGATGGACCGACTCGCCGATAGACCGTTGTGTCATTTCACTGGGAAGATTAGGGGTATTGAAGGCTCGAAGGTGGCCATTTCCACCTGCGACGGGTTGGTAAGTCAAAATTAAACACCGTTTTTTATTAATTAATCTAACTTAATTCCAAATAATTACCTTAAATATGATTAACAATTTTTTTTTATCATTTTTCACCAACAAATTCCATAGAAAATCTACACATTTTTATTAATTATTGATTTAACTTTTTCATATTTAATCACAAATTTGATTTTCATACAATTTGTGTAAATAATATACAAATTTATAAATTCTATAAAAAAATACGTAAACTATACATTTTTAATATTTACACCTATTCATATCTAGTCTCAATTGTGATTAACATTTTTTTTCAATTTCAAACTACATAGCAAAATCTACATAAACTATACATTTTTTCATAGTATTAATGTGCCTTTTTCACATGTATTAACAAATTTGATTTTTGTACAATTTGTGAAAATAAAACACAAATTTATAAATTCCATAAAAAAGAACACATAAATTACATACATTTTTAATAAATAATAATGGTATTCATTTACTGAATTTGATCATAATTGTAATTATTAAAAAAATGTTAATTAACAAGTTGTTTAACTTTACGTTTCATAAATATTTATTCAGTGAATACATTTAGATCATAATTTGTATTTATATCACAAATATTTTTGTTTTTTTTTTCAATTACAAATTCCATAGGAAATTTACATAAACTATACATTTCATAGTATTAATTTAACTTTTTCAAATATAAGATATTTCTTTTAAAATATTTATAAAAGTGAATAATTATCTGTGAAAAGTGAACTTTTTTTTTATCTCGTATAATTTTATTCACAATCTGTTCATCAATGTGAACAATAAATGGATAATCTTTCGCGGTGAATAGTTGAATAGTTGAACATTAATAATTACTTAAATATATATACTAAATCTAGTAGTTTGTAACTGAAGCGTTTGTGGTTTCACTATTGTCGAGTAGGCCAATAGCTAGAACATTAGTATGTGACTCCAATCTATCTTGGTATCTACTACTAAATGTTGGTATTGTATCCTCGACCATATCTATATGAAGATCTTCGTGTATTTGTTTATTCCTGACGAACCATGGAGCCCTAATCATATTTCTTAGGTATTTTGATTGGAACCTTTGTATAATTTGTATGTTCGATTTACTGGCCGCAGTACACAATTAGATGCCATACGTCCATACTGGTATCAGTATTACTTTGTATATAAGTAATTTATTTTCCACTGATAATTCCAAGCTTTTACCTAGAAGCCAGTAGAGTTTTCTAAACTTTATTTCTAATTGCTCCCTCTTAGCCTGAATGTGATCTTTCCAGGTGAGTCTTCTGTCTAGATGCATGCCTAGATATTTGACTTTTGTTGCTTTGGGCAGATCTTGTCCATTAAGTCTTACAGTTGGGCAGGTGTCTTTCTTTAGCGTGAATGTGATATACACGGATTTCATTTCATTAACTGCTATTCTCCGTTTATTAAGCCATTCTTGTAGCTTATCTAAATTCTCCTGTAGATATTCGGATGCTATTGCTGGATTCTCATCTGATGCCAACACTTCCCTGTGGCTCCCCTAATTCTATTAGGTATTCGTCTTCTATTTTTACCTGAAACATTCTATTATCGAGGTATGATTTTAAAATAATTATATGGCAAGTTCTTCTTTATTTTATAAAGTAGTTTGAGATGCCAAACTTTGTCAAAAGCTAGCGATATGTCTAAAAAGGCAGCCGAGCAGTATCTCTTAATTTCCAGGTCTTAGTAGATGGTATTTATTATTCTGTTTACTTGCTGTATTGTGCCGTATTTGCAACGAAAGCCAAACTGATTGTTTGGTATAAGCTTATTTGATGCTATAATAGGTTGCAATCGGTTAGCAAGAAGTTTTTCGAAAACTTTGGATAATATCGGTAGAAGACTTAAGAGTCTGTACGACTTGATTTCTTCGTCAGGTTTCCTTTGCGCTGGATAATAACCTGTACGTTGTATAGCATACATATAATTAAAGTGAAATAATAGTCAATGTTATATCATTATAAAAGTAATCTGTTAATTAACGATTGTTCAAAGTTAACTTAGTTTTCACATACATATTTTTCTTTTCTTATGTAATAAACTTCTAATTTATTGTTTATAATAGGCTTTGAGATAAATTGAAAAAAATATTTTCTTATAAAATATACAAATTACAATAAAAAAATGTAATTGTAAAAATGTAGAACTAGGAATGATGATAATTTAACTAATCCTAATCTAAATTTATCTAACTTAATAAGGACTGTGACGTGACTTCTAACTTCTATCTAAAATTGTAGACTTTAATTAACCAAAGGTAACCAAGTAATTGCCTATAATCAAAATTCTTTTGCAATTAATAAATAATCTAAATAATAAATTACATGAAAGTAAATGTACATTGAAAATCCAATTAACGTGCTTGTTTATATTACATATTTCTAAATTACACTATAGAAAGTTTACTGCTTACAAGTAAAAAGTTTAATTTTATAACAAAATTAATTCGTTTTACGTAATCCGTTTAATTATTTATTTATTTTTCATTTTAATACCACCATATTGGGTGAGTAATGTAATGTAATGAAAAGCGGCGTCGCTTTAGTTAGTAATCATGTTTGAATATGAAATTGATTATACGTGTACTTAACATTCTATTCCCACGCTTTGAAAAGACCCCAGGCTGATAACGATTTGCTATGCATTGAAAATATTTTATTATTGTTATTACCGCAGGTGTAAAAGAAATCCTTACATACGTATAATCGATTGTAGTTTGTGCTTGTGCGTATCCTGTTTCATAAATCCCATACGTTTAAACTATACTTTAATATTGCAATTAAAAAGAAAAGGAATTTTTAATATGTTTCCCCCCCATAATTATACCATAAAATTGTAGTTTAATGATTCTGTAATTATTTTTCTATATTTATTGGATATTTTTTAAATTTATACTTAGTTTATGATAAAAATAAGAAAAAACAAGTTGGATAAATATTGATTATTAATTTTTTTTTGTGTATTTTCATTAGCATTTTCATCCCTTAAAAATATATTGTATTATTAAATTTTAAGTAAAAGAAATGCGTCTTATAGTCTGTACGTGTTAGTTAATAGTAAGGTACATTTATTGTTGTTTAATTCATGTTGTGGATGCTAATGCGAATGTTATCAATGTAAGCGTGAAAAGAAGATTGCAGGAAGGTTTATGAATGAAGTGTTTGTGGGGACCATTAGGAGTAAGCGATAGTACTAAGTGGAGGCATTAATACGGTGGAGACATAATCAACTATGATTGTGGGCGTATGCCTCTAGTATATTACGGACTTGACTGTAGAAATAGGTGATCCGAAAAGAGATTCAAACACGCAGATGGGTGTGAAAAGCTAATCTGAATAAGACATCAATTAAGATTGTAAGTTAACTAAGAAATTATATGATTAAATAATTTCGATTTTGAAGAATTTATAAGTTCTTGGTCAATATAACATAATTTGCTTTGATGTTTTGTAATGTTTTTAAAAAAAGATTATTGAAGACGGAATAGTACGTGGAAATAAAGGTAATCGTTTCTTGTTTCCATCAACCACAAAAATAAACTTATCGACTAGTTCAAGGCTAAACTAGTTACGTAACGTTCGCTCGCTGCATGTCCCGTTTCCGGTTTACTACACGAAAATACTTGGGAATGCAATAAGCCGCGCGATTCCCCGGTTCGGCTCTTATTTGAACGATGGAAAATACAACAAATAGAAATAAAAATTGAAGCGGATAATTCAATTTTGTTCTGTGTTTATTCAACGTTCCCTTCGTTCTGCCCCGCAGGTGGGTTACATAAGTATGAATGGTCATCGGTATTTCGTGGAGCCGATCGCCGAGCACGTTCCAAACAAAAGGGGTCAACTTCTGCACATGGTGTACGAACGTTCGCAGAATTACAGTGGCGGTCCTCACTGCGGCACGGAGCAGAGATGGCAGGATGCGTGGCGCGACAGGTTTAGGAAGAGTCTGAAGGATAAGCTGGAGGATGAGGATGTCGATGAGGATGAGAAGGCCGAGGCGAAGAGGGGATTGGAGAGCGTGCACAGGTATCTGGAGACGCTCGTCGTGGCGGATAAGAAGTTTTTGGAGCATCACAAGGATACGGATCACGAGCTCTACATTATGACCATCATGAATATGGTATGAATATCTTAATTTTTATTGGAGACAACTTTATGAACAATACTTGATGAATGTCATGACCGTTATATATCTTAATTATTATAGTAGATGACCTAATGATTCTTACTTAATTAAATTTCATTATGACCTTTCTTCTAATTTTAGTGGTAACATTATGACCATCATGAATTTTTTATGAATATCTTATTTTTTATTGGAGACAAGGTTATGAATGTTATGACCGTTATACATGCTTAATTATTATAGTAGATGACCTAATGTTTCTTACTTAACTAGTTTTCATTATGACCTTTCTTCAAATCTTAGTGGTAACATTATGACCATCATGAATTTTGTATGAATATCTTATTTTTTATTGGAGACAAGGTTATGAATGTTATGACCGTTATACATGCTTAATTATTATAGTAGATGACCTAATGATTCTTACTTAACTAATTTTCATTACGACCTTTCTTCTAATCTTGGTGATAACATTATGTCCATCATGAATTTTGTATGAATATCTTAATTTTTATTGCAGACACGTTTATGAATGTTATGACCGTTATACATAGCTAATTTAATATAGTAGATGACCTAATGATTCTTACTTAACTAATTTTCATTATGACCTTTCTTCTAACCTTAGTGGTAACATTATGACCATCATGAATTTTGTATAAATATCTTAATTTTTATTGAAGACAAGTTTATGAATATTATGACCGTTATACATAGCTTAATTATTATAGTAAATGACCTAATTATTCTTACTTAACTAATTATGACCATCATGAATTTTGTATAAATATTTTAATTTTTATTGGAGACAAGTTTATGAATGTTATGACCGTTATACATAGCTTAATTATTATAGTAAATGACCTAATTCTTACTTAACTAATTTTCATTATGACCTTTCTTCTGATATTAGTGGTAACATTATGACCATCATGAATTTTGTATGAATATCTTAATTTTTATTGGAGACAACTTTATAAATGTTATGACCGTTATATATAGATTAATTATTATAGTAAATGACTTAACTAATTTTCATTATGACCTTTCTTCTAATCTTAGTGATAAAATTATGACTATCATGAATTTTGTATGAATATCTTAATTTTTATTGGAGACAAGTTTATGAATGTTATGACCGTCATACATAGCTTAATTATTATAGTAAATGACCTAATTCCTACTTAACTAATTTTCATTATGACCTTTCTTTTGACCTTAGTGGTAACATTATGACCATCATGAGTTGTGAGACATTAGAGACAACTTAATGAATGTTATGATCGTTATACATAATTTAATTATTATAGTAAATGACCTAATGATTCTTACTTAACTAATTTTCATTATGATCTTTCTTCTAATCTTAGTGGTAACATTATGACCATCATGAATTTTGTATGAATATTTTAATTTTTATTGGAGACAAGTTTATGAATGTTATGACCATTATACATAGCTTAATTATTATAGTAAATAACCTTATGATTCTTACTTAATTAATTTTTATTATGACCTTGTTTCTGACCTTAAGTTTAACATTATGACTATCATTAATTTGGTATGCTTATTTCAATTTATATTGGGGACAAGTTAATGAAGGATACTTTATAGCATTACTAATTGATTTTACTAATCAACGTTGCGATCATCGTGTTTAAAATTGATTACAGATTTAGGAGTGTATCAAACTCTATTTGAGTTACTAGTTACTATTCGTAATGGCTATAGGAGACATGGACTATTGATTTGACAGACGTCTTCGTTTAGAATTGAGATGTATTTTGCTGAATGCCTTTGAACTGCGATCCGGTCCGATTTCGCAAAAGTGTTGATAGATTTTCCAACCATTACTCATGCCTGGTGATGCGTATCAACAAGTTTCTCTCCGCGAAACGGGCGTTCAGGAAAATCGGGTATTATATATATAGAGAGAGAAAAAGAAATAGAGGCTAGTCAGAATTATGCACAAACGGGGCTCTAATTACGTTTACTACCTCGACCCCCCCGCCGATCCTCGTTAACGCTGCCAATAAATGCATTTCCATTTAATAATTGCTCTCTTTCTTCATCTCTTGTCCAAGCCGTATCTCTTTGTGTGTGTGTATGCATGTGCCGACTCGCGTATTTTTCATCAACTGGAATCATTTTGCCGTGGAGCGGAAACATAATTGCTCTCTAATAACATACAGCTGGACGTTCAATAAATTCCGAGAATGTATTAATTACGTGGAGAGGCAGCGTTCCACGCGTTTCCTTAAATCTTAATTAGGAGGTCTCTCCTCTCTTCTCTTCTTTCTCTCTCCTCGCTCCGTGCAACCCCCCAGCGCGTTACCAATTCAACCCACACGAGACACGAGCATTATTGCATGATCGGAGAAGGACGGAATGTGCGGTGTCCGTATTGAATGAGTGAAACGGAGGTAGAGAGTAGCGTGGAGGTGAAGAGAGAAGTCTGAAAGGACGTAACGAATTGACAGGTCTCGGATTACTATCACGACTCGAGCAGCGGCAATCAGATGGACGTGGTCGTGGTCAGGATAATGTACTTGGAGAAGGAGGAGGAGGAGATCGATCTGGTAATTAACCAGGACGCGGAGAAGACTCTGGCGAGCTTCTGCGACTGGCAGCAGAGGATCAACCCGAAGGACATCAAAAACCCGAACCACCACGACATCGCCATCCTCCTGACACGGTAAAAAAACCTATCGCAGTTCCAATTCTTTGATTGTATTTCCACTCCCCTAAATGATACGCAATTTTGCCGGAACGGCACTTTCCGTCCGTTTATTTTTTGTGTCTCCTCCGTTTGGATCAGAGCTTGTACCTTTCGTTTTCAACTTTATTTTCCCTTCGTTTCATTTCCTTCGTTTTTTGGTTAATGTGTGAGTCCCAATGTATGCATTGACACACACACACGCTGGTGAATGTATAGGCATAAAGTTGTGTAACTTTCCGTAAATAGCTTTTTATCGTCCAACAGACTGCGGTGCGCTCCTTTATACTTGTTGAATTCGCTTTTCCGAGATGATAGATAGATCGCATTTATCTCTCTGGCGCATATCAAAGAAGTGTAAAGAGGGAAGGAGCGCGCTGCAAATGGAAGAGCTGGAAAAAAGCGTTTCTGAATTTTAGAAAATCCATTCGCCAGTGTGTGACATAAGTCAGTCGTGTGATCTCAGTTCGCAGAATGATGTCGCTCCCCTTTTTAACACTTATGAATTCCATCTGTATCTTGATAACTCTATATTATTCCTTTTTTGCTTGCATTTCTAACACTTCTTCCCTAATTAATGTTCTCCATTTTTTTAAATTATTTATTTCATTACTTTTCTTTTCTACTTATAACTTGTTAATTAATATTTCAAAATAATTTCAGTACATGAAAAATATTGATTGAATCTTGGAAATGTGAGTTGCGCAATTGAAGTAAAGCTTTATACGAAACTTTTAATATAAAGACTACTAGAAAATAATTGGATTTACTGCGCGATATTATGATTGTAATTACGCGAAATTAGATCTTGAAAAGTCTTTGTAAAATCCGTTTACAAGAGAAGTATAATATTGCTACGCTGCGTTCTCTCATCTTTCGTATGCTAACGTTCAAGTCGTGCACTCATTTTTCTTTTCTTTTTGTAAACTCTTCTGTGTAATGTAAATCTATGAAATTAAAATGGAAGATCCATCATCCGTTTCCTGTTTATTCTTGCTCTCTTCCTCACTTCGTATCCATCCACTTTCAATGTAAAAATCTCTTTCAATCTATCTCTTTTTCCGCCACCTCCTCCTGCGAAATAGATTTTTTGACGTGTTTACTTACTCCTTTGGACTAGCCTAGGCTAGCAATTCAATGGATATTTTATCTTTCCGGACAGAGAGAATTCCCGTCGGCCCGTACGGAATACATTGTTTTATTGATCGCCTACTCCGACACATTCTGCACGGGCAAATATTAATCTTATCTTGAGTGTTGTTTAACATGGTAAAAATGCATGGTACAATGTGTAAATGCTCGTGGGCAGGTCCACTTTCCACTTGACTCGAGGCATAAAAGCATGCATCTAAAAAGCATTCTTATTTTAGTTTTATTCTTTCTTAGCTCGCAGTTTGTGTGTGTACTTTAATCTCGAATAGCGCCTCAAACGATCTTCAAAGATGGTTTGATGATAAAATAAAAGAATACAAAAAATATATAGAGAAGAATATAGAAAATTGATAGAGAAAATTGAAATGAAGGTATTTTTTTAATAACTATTTTAATCTTAAATTGTGCCATAAATAATTTTCACAAATAGTTTAAAAGATTAATTGAAAAATGAAATTTTATAAAATTGTGGTAATTTCATCCAGAAAAATGTTGTAAATTAATTTCACAAATAACTTTATGATAAAACAGAAATTTTCACAAATAGTTTAATAGATTGATTGAAAAATGATAGAAAAAAATGAAAATTTATAAAATTGTGGTAATTTCATTCTGAAAAATGTTGTAAATTAACTTCACAAATAACTTTATGATAAAACAGAAATTTTCACAAATAGTTTAATAGATTAATTGAAAAATGATATAAAAAAATGAAATTTTATAAAATTGTGGTAATTTCATCCAGAAAAATGTTATAAATTAACTTCACAAATAACTTTATGATAAAACAGAAATTTTCACAAATAGTTTAATAGATTGATTGAAAAATGATAGAAAAAAAAAAGAAATTTTATAAAATTGTGGTAATTTCATCCTGAAAAATGTTGTAAATTAATTTCACAAAGAACTTTATGATAAAACAGATTCAGTAATTTTTTTTCAGAAATATATATGTTTTATGCTTGTAGACGAAGTGAAATTGATCCGAAGAAAGGAATTGCGAATAAACAACTTATTATGGGTTGTAAGTGAGTGCTAGACGCATTATTCATTTGGAGGGTGATTTATGTTGTAATTGTATGGTGGAAATAAAAGCTGAAAACACGACGCATTAAATATTGAAAACATTATTTATATGAAGAAATGTATCGTGCTTCTATTTCTATTTCAATGTTTTATGTATGACGATTTATTATTAGAGTATCAAACGTATGTTAAGGTTTTAATGTAAATATTCTTTGGTTTTTCTTTGATGATAATTGTTTGTTGTTCTCCATTATAAAAAAAAACCATACTGAGAACATAAGATGGGTAGAAGGTAGTTTTATAATGTTTTATTAGTACAAGTACTCAAAATTTGAGAACTAATACATTACTTTTTGTTTTATTATTATTAATATGAAATTATATCGTTTTTGTTTAAAAATTAGTATTAGCTCTATAATACTTAAAAATACTTTGCAAGTTAAATTTATCCATAAAATTGAATTGCAATAGGTAAATTGAATTATTCTTTCTGTTCCTAAAAAGTAGATTTTTGTTGAGTTTAATAACTGGATTTTTAAATATTTTCAATTTACAATTATTAAATTTTGTCGTTAGAAGTAAATTTTTAAGTTTCCTGTTGTTTTTTGTTATATTAATTCAATGTAGAATCAATGCATAATAAGCTTTTCGTTGAATGTAGTTTCTTGAGCGTTGTTTGCTTTTAATTTGTATGCGGCTGTTGTTGGTTTCCGTTGTCGCTTGCTGTTGTTGTTGTTTTTTTTGCGTCTGGATAGGAGGGAGAGTGGTGCATTTTAGTTGCAATTTGCATTCCGCATTAAGTTTTAGATATAAACATTTCTGGGATAATTCCATGGACCATAATACCGAGATTGCTGAAAACCGTAGCATTCTCTCTCCGTTTCTCTTGTAGATTCTCTCTGTGTCCCACTATCCCACTGTGGCCCTTTCTCTCCTCTAAACTCTCTGAATACGTGTTTGGATTTCCTTGCGCGCTCTCTCTCTCTCTGTGTGTCTGTACGTTTGTTTCCATGTAAATAATTATGTTTCCAGTTTCCACGTACGAAACGATATTTTTCGCTCTGGGAAGGCTTCAGAGAGCCCCATCCGATGATAACAGCAGGAACAATGTAGTTAGTTGTAGTAGTAGCAGTTGATGTTGTTGTTGTTGTCGTAGCAGCAGTAACGGTGAACATAATTTTCCCTGTTGAAGGCATGACATATGTGCGGACAACATGGCTAATTGCGGCCTCATGGGGTTGGCCTTCGTAGCCACGGCCTGTAGCGGAGATAAACCTTGCGCCATTAATGAAGACGGAGGCCTCATCCTGGGGATCGTCACCGCTCACGAAATGGGCCATGTGTACGTCTAATACCTATTTCCCTCTCTCACACACCCTCTCTTATCGTCGCCGACTAATCTCGGACATCCTAGATGATCCATCTTCCCCCAAAAACAACAACCCTCTCTGCATTGCTTTTGTGTGTTTGTGTCCAGGATGGGATGCTCTCACGATCAAGAGGACGTTTCCGGATGCCAGCCCCAAGCCGAGGACAAGTCCTTCTACGTTATGTCGCCCTTCGTCCATCTGCATACCAATATATGGTCAAACTGTTCCAGAGGTTTCATAACTGCATTATTCGAGTAAGCATTAAACAATTTTATTAAACCATCTAAATCAGTGGTTCCAAAACTTATTTGGCCTACCTTTCTAGAAAAAATATATTACTCAGCGCCCCCTAGATTTTTTTTTTATTTCAATAGCAATTAAACAGCGCCCACTTTGAAAATCACTTATCTAAATAGTAAACATTGAACAAACATTGAAAAACACCAACAGTTTTAATACTTGAATCAACTCAAACTACAAGAAAAACTTGCATTTTCTTGATTCCTTTAGAGAATCTAAATTAACTAAATATTTATATATTTACTAATTGATACCTACATTGAAATTTCCTGCACAAATATTTCACATAAAATAAAAGATATTTTACATTAGGCGTATGGATCAATAAAGTACAAAATTGTCTACTTACTACTTGCCAAGTAACTTATTAATTACTTGTCACATTCAATTAGAATTTCTCATCAATTATTAATTAATCAATTTCACGATTTTTATAGTTTCCATGACAACTATAGGTTTTATACTTCTCTCAGTACTTGATCATTTTTATTAATTCATTTTGTAGAAATTTGTATTTTTGTTTTCTTTTTATAATAATTTAATTTTATAATTATTTTCATAGATAGTCTTGTATACATAAATATTTACAATTTTACCTTGAGATGTCTTTATTGAAATACACGATAAACATCTCTGCAAAGGCAGAAACACCGAGATTTGCATTATGCATGTAATTCAGTAAACATATTTACACAGTTGTCTACTTATCAGTCGACACATGCCAAGTGTCTCATCAATTACTTGTCATGTTTCTCATAGACTGTTGTTTCCATGACAACCATACCTTGTTTCATGCAATACTTGTACCAAATACTCAGCCATGTTTATTTTAATTTTATAAACGCTTAGTAATTTCGGAAATTTTTGAATATATGTAAATTTTGAATCATATTAATTATATAAACCAATTCGGTACTAATTATATAATAATTATTGATTAAAAAAACTTTGGATTAAATTGGTAGTTAATTAATAATTAACGATTGTTAAATAAGTAATTTCCAATAAAAGCATTTAACTTTTATTAGGTCAAAGACATATATTTCCATTAATATCTCATAACAAAAATTAATAAAATCAACTTTTGATCGAACAAATGATAAACATCTTTGCAAAGGTAGAAACACCGAGATTTGCATCATGTAAGTAATTCAGTAAACATATTTACACAGTTGTCTACTTATCAGTCGACACATGCCAAGTCTCTCATCAATTACTTGTCATGTTTCTCATAGACTGTTGTTTCCATGACAATCATACCTTGTTTCATGCAATACTTGTACCTTTATTTTACAGCCGTTTACTTAGTAATTTCGGAAATGAGTTATTGGTAAATTTTGAATCATGGATTAAATTGGAACTTAATTACTAATGAAAATTAACGATTGTTAAATAAGTAATTTCTAATAAAAGCATTTAACTTTTATTAGGTCAAAGACATATATTTCCATTAATATCTCATAACAAAAACGAATAAAATCAACGTTTTGATCGAACAAATAAAATCAAGTCCATTGACTATAATTATTATTTATCTGCAATTAATGGATGCACTTGCTCGTTCGTTCGTTTTATTGTAGAAAGTCGAAAGCAAATTGATTGATTTATTGAGTTATCAATATGCATGACTATCCGATTTTTGAGCCTCGTTCGATGATATTCCGATTAGATTTCATCTGTTTTTACAGTTGTAATCGTTCTTATTGGTTTTCTGCCACAAGTAAATAATATAGTTTCAATTGATTATTTTTCTGTTGTTGTTTTGTTCTTGAATGGATCGAAGTTTCGTTTGTTTATCCGCTCACTACGCAGGAAGTAGAACGTTCCAATTAAACTCAATTGAATTTCCAAGAAAAACAATTGCACATTTTTACGTACTCGTTTATTGACATTAAAATTTATTAAATGAAGAATATTTAAATCTCCTTTAAATAATTTGTTACAAAAAAATTCAAATCAATTGATGTTATTAATTGAATGAAAGTTTTAATTGATATTAATTATTGTAGTTAAAAAATGTTAAAAAAAAATTGTATTTTACAAAATTTGTTTAGAAAATTGGTCATAATCAATAAAGAACTTAAACAATATGAGAGAAGTTAAGCAATGCGTTTGAAGGATAATATTTTAATAAGTTAATTTTAAAAAAATTGGACAAACTTTTTCGTTTTTTTTTTCAATTTTGAACTCGAAATATAGAACGAAGAAAGAAAACACAGCAATGCGTGAATACTCGCTACATTCCACAAATATCTAAGTTTCATATGCATCTTTTGGAATAATTTAATCTAATTTATTTTTTGAGAAAATCACTGAAATCTAACGACACTGCTTTTTCGAGCGTTATTTTTTTTTCAATTTTGGACTCGAAGTATACATCGGAAGAAAGAAAGCACAGCAATGTGTGAATACTCGTTACATTCCCCAAATATCTAAGTTTTAGATACATCTTTTGGATCCATTCAATCTATTTTAGTTTTTGAGAAAATCAATAAAATCCAATGACACTGTTTTTTTCGAGCGTAAATTTATCGTTTTTTTTTTCATTTTTGAACTAAAAATATACAACCAAATGGTAGAAAGCACAGCAATGTGTGAATACTCGTTACATTCCCCAAATATCTAAGTTTCATATACACCTTTTGGATATATGTTAAGTTAAGCAATGCGTTTGAAGGATAATATTTTAATAAGTTAATTTAAAAAAAAATGTACAAACTTATCTTAAATAACTTAACTATTTGAGCACATATAAAGTATATTTTGGTTAACTAAATAATTTGTAATTAATTAACGCTAACCTTGATTACAGTAATTTATAAGTAGTAAAAAGAAGTCAGTAAAATTCGTTAAGTTTCTTTTTTTTTATCATAATTGGTTGTGGTTTTAAGCGAGTTTCTCGTCGGTTTATATTTGCCCCCAAAAAAAAGAGTCTTCTTCACCCAACTAAATACGGTTTTTGCAAAGCGGTCTGAGAGTCGTCGAATATAAACATTGGTTACGTGTGGATCCTCAGGTAAACGCGTTGAATCTCAAAGCAAAGACAGAAAAAAAGGCGAAACGAAACAACCTAAATAAAATAAAACAAGAAGGTTACACAAAGCTGAAGAGAATCCAGCAGTAAAGAAATAACAGTGCGCTTGTTTGCACCGTGATTTAGTAGACTTTATTACTTTATGATATGAATAAGTCGTGCAGTGTATGCATATTAAAGTACGATTTTTTTTGTTGTTTTTGTATCTTCTTTAATGCCGTAGCGAAAGGGACGTAATTTACAAGGCAGGAGGTACGATGTTCTATAAATATTTGAACTTGAATCAATTCGAAGCTGCGTTTAATGTATTGGATTTTATGCGGATAAATAAACTGGAAATGTCGTTTCTATAAATGTCAGAAGTTTAACTATTATTTCGGCGACGTATTCATTATGAGCAGAATTTATAATTCTCTCAGCAGATTATTATTATTATCATGCGCGTGTGTTTTTATTCTTCGGGACTCGATTTTATTGGTTTCCAGTTGGTTTAACACACGTATTTCGTCTGGTATATAGAAATGGTTCGATTCCGCTGTTCCTATTCCGTGCCATTTATATGACATGTATGGTTAGCCGGTTAGTTTTATGGCTTTTTGAATGATACTAACGTTTTTTTCATGTGTGATCTAAATCCAAATGTCAGCTCATTTGTTATATAACTTCTTTTTTTTTTTCGTTTGTTTAATGCCCTCGGTTCTATTTATATTCTAAATTATGTTGTATATACTAACAATAACAAATTGCACTTCGTAAATCTCACTTTAACACTTTGCACTATTCAAATATGGATTTGGAAAAGAGGTCATCTCAATTACTTTTACCAATGATTTAATACGAATTGAAGTTATTAGTTTATTACTTTAGCTTTTATTTTGATTTTTGTATTTGATTTTTGTATTTTGTATCCACTGAAGTATTTCTGCCAAATTGAATGCGATTTACAGTCAAATAGATGAAAGCACAGCAATGTATGAATACTCGCTATATTCCCCAAATATTTAATTTTCATATACATCTTTTGCATTCATTTAATCTATTTTAGTTTTTGAGAAAATCACTAAAATCTAATGACACTGTTTTTTCGAGCATTCATTTTTCGTTTCTTTTTTCAATTTTGAAATCGAAATTTACAATCGAATAGAAGAAAGCACAGCGTGTGTGAATACCACCTACATTCCCCATATATTTAAGTTTCAAATACATCTTTTGGATTCATTTAATCTCTATTAGTTTTTTATAAAATCACTAAAATCTAATGACACTGCTTTTTCGAGTGTTAATTTTTCGTTTTTTTTAAATTTTGAACTAGAAATATACAACCAAATATTAGAAAGCACAGCAATGTGCGAATACTCGCTACATTCCCCAAATAACTAATGTTCATATACATCTTTTGGATTCATTTAATCTCTATTAGTTTTTAAGAAAATCACTAAAATCTAATGACACTGTTTTTTTCCAGCGTTAATTTTTCGTTTTTCTTTTTTCAATTTTGAACTCGAAATATACAACGGAGGAAAGAAAGCACAACAATGTGTGAATACTCGCTACATTCCCCAAATATCTAAATTTCATATACATCTTTTGGATTCGTTTAATCTATTTCAGTTTTTGAGAAAATCACTAAAATCTAATGACACTGTTTTTTCGAGCGTAAATTTTTCGTTTTTTTTTTTCAATTTTGAACTCGAAATATATAACCAAAAGGAAGAATGCACAGCAATGTGTGAATACTCGCTACATTCCCCAAATATCTAAGTTTTATTTGCTTTTTTTGGATTCATTTAATTTCTATTAGTGTTTGAGAAAATCACTAAAATCTAAGGACACTGCTTTTTTGTGCATTAATTTTTCATTTTTTCAAATTACATCGCAAATTACAGTCAAATTGATGAAACAAAATGCACGAACACTCGTACATTCTCCAAGTATCTAAGTTTCATATACATCTTTTGGATTAATTTAATCTTTATTAATTTTTTCGTTTTTTTTTCAATTGTGAATTCGAAATATAAAACCAGATGGAAGTAAGCTTAACAATATGTGAATCCTCCATACATTCCTCAAACATCCATGCATTTGTTGGATCCATTCAATGTATTATAGTTTTTACAAAAATTACTAAAATGTGAAAATTATGTGCTAGTTCCCTATTTCCACTAAAAGGCTATCAACCAAAGTCTTTCTACTAAGTTCATATTCATTTTCATCGCAATGAAATTCAAATTATTCTCTTTACTGTAAGAATTTCTTATTTTTTTTTTACTAAATTTAGAAAAATTACATAAACTGAAAAATCATCATACATATTAATAATTTATAAATGTTTAGTAGTAATAGTAATAGCATGTTTATTGACAATATTGTGTAAAAATTCCACTTTGCACATAATAAAGTGTTGTGAATGCAACACGCCGCGTTTCTAAATAATGTATTCACCATTTTCAGTCGGAACTACATTCATTTCACGCGGTAAACTTTTGTTCGCAAAGTTATGCCAAAGTTTTATTTCCACGAAACTAATATTCCGCTACGCGTTGTTGTTTAATTGTTCATGTTGTTGTTTCTGTTGCTCATTTTTATTTATGCTCCGTTTTTGGAATAGGCGTATGTGTAGTACAATATACAAGCCTTTCGCTTCTATCATCAAATCAATAGTTAATTTGCGCGAACAAAAAAAAATATCGCATTGTTTGTTTTTGCGCTGTGATTAAATTTTGCACGTTTCCCGGAAAACTTCCTTATGAAATGTTAGCTTTTGATGGCATGAATCGTTGCGTCTTTCGTATGGATAGAGGTGCACGAACTGTTTATAATAACGTGTGCGTGGAAGGTGGGTTTGGGTGAGGGGATTCCCCGGGATTAACGCCGACAGTGACATACAGACATTGATACAAGATTACTGTGCCACTACATATCGCATGATGAATTGGTAATTCCGCTAATGCGATTATATATATACTAAGTTGGATTCGTTTGTTTTTCACCTGTGGGCTTGCTATAATTTTGGGTTTGCCGACCTTGAATTTAATTAAGTACAATTCGTATATACAGGATGTTCATAAACGTGTTTCTTTTTTTCAAAATTACTTCATAAAAATTCAATTTTTTGTTTATATTAGACTGAAAATTTATGAAGCAATTTTTGAAAATGACTTCCAAATATTCAAAATTACTGGTATTTACCATATTAACTACCTATACTTAATGAATACACTCTGTATATGTATTTAGAGTACAGCTGTTACTAAATATATNAACAAAAGCCTTTCGATTAATTGCATATTCATGATCATTAACCGATCGACGATTTAACATCTGCGATTTCTTTTGTTTTGTTTCTTTGTTTTTTTTTTGTAATCGTGATGTTCATCTGATTCCTTTGTTTAGTAACGATCTCGGGGAGTGCTTGAACGATGAGCCTCAAGTCTCGCTGTTCGAAGACAAGAACATGCTGCCAGGAACCATTTACGACGCCAAATATCAATGTCAGATGGAATACCCGGGCTCCTCGGTCTGCGAAGGAACACCGGAAAGATTCTGCAGAAGGTTGCTATGCAAAACGGAGCCGGACAGGTGTAAGACGAACGGAGAACCGCCGGCCGATGGGACGAAATGCGGGGACAACAAGGTACACGTCTCAAAAACCATCCTGTTTACTTAAGCTTTTCCTTCCTCTTCTGTTCAATACAATACACTTATAAGGCGAATCTCATGACACTACTTTTTCGAGCGTTAATTTTTCTTTCTTTTTTTCCAATTTTGAACTAGAAATATACAACCAAATGGTAGAAAGCACAGCAATGTGTGAATACTTGCTACATTCCCCAAATATCTAAGTTTCATATACATCTTTTGGATTCTTTTAATCTATTTTAGTTTATGAAAAAAAATCACTAAAATCTATTGACACAGTTTTTCGAGCATAAATTTTTCGTTTTTTTTTCAATTCTGTCTAAAATCCTGTTTACTTAAGCTCTTCCTTCCTCTTCTGTTCAATACAATACACTTATAAGGCGAATCTCATGACACTGCTGTTTCGAGCGTTAATTTTTCTTTCTTTTTTCCAATTTTGAACTAGAAATATACAACCAAATGGTAGAAAGCACAGCAATGTGTGAATACTCGCTACATTCCTCAAATATCTAAGTTTCATATACATCTTTTGGATTCTTTTAATCTATTTTAGTTTCTGAAAAAAAATCACTAAAATCTATTGACACAGTTTTTCGAGTATACATTTTTCGTGTTTTTTTCAATTCTGTCTAAAATCCTGTATACTTAAGCTCTTCCTTCTTCTTCAGTTCAACACAATACACTTATAAGGCGAATCTCATCAAGCTCCCACAAAACAAACTTAATTACTACATCTGCCATCTCTTTGTGCGCTTTCAATTTTGAACTCGAAATTTAAACCAAAAGGAAGAAAGCACAGCAATGTGTGAATACTCGCTACATTCCCCAAATATTTAAGTTTCTTATACATCTTTTGGATTTATTTAATCTATTTTAGTTTTTGAGCAAATCACTAAAATCTAATGACACTGTTTTTTCGAGCGTTAATTTTTTGTTTTTTTTTCAATTTTGAACTCGAAATATAGAACGGAAGAAAGAAAGCACAGCAATGTGTGAATACTCGCTACATTCCCTAAATATCTAAGTTTCATATACATATTTTGGATTCTTTTAATCTATTTTAGTTTCTGAAAAAAATCTATTGACACAGTTTTTCGAGCATAAATTTTTTGTTTTTTTTTCCAATTGTGTCTACAATCCTGTTTACTTAAGTTCTTCCTTCTTCTTCAGTTCAACACAATACACTCATAAGACAAATCTCATCAAGGTCCCACAAAACAAACTTAATTACTACATCTGCCACGTCTTTGTGCGTTTTCCCTTTTTAGGATTTATCTTTGCTTTTTAATGAAATTGCGGAATATCCTGAAAAATACAGATAATTTGCTGTTATCAGAGACATGAAATAGCAGTGAATGGGAATAAACGAACCGAAATATTTTGAGTCCCAATTACCATTCGTTGTTTTTTGTGTGTGTTTTTTTTTATTTCTGCATGAGCCCAGGACGAATGTTTTTTTTTGTTGTTGGATTAATTAAAAAATTTGAAATCACATACAGACCCAATTCGATACGCTTGCAAATTCGCGCATTTACTGCATGTTAATGGATTCCCAAGTTTGTACCTCTGACTGGATTTCAACTCAGAATATTATACATTATTCAACATGATTACTCTATAATTATGGCCTTCAATAACATCCATTATGATATAAATGTTTAACAAGAAGTTAGCACTAATATTCTATAGTTTGATTTGTAAACTAATTCCTAATTAGAGTACAATTTGTTTTAAAAATGTTTTCATGATTATTTTGTTACAAAATAGTTGATAAAATGTGTATTGATAAAAAATGATTCTTGGGTTGTTGTTGTAGGTAAATTTTAAATCTTTGTTGTAAAGTAGCTAAAAAAGGATTTTTCTGAAAATCTGCTTAGTTGGGATTAAGCCTTAAAGGTCCTTCGAAGTGCTCGAGCTTATTGAATATAAATCGATTTATCCTTCCATATTAAATTACTCATAAATTACAAACTAATATTTATAGCTGAACGAATATGATTGTAATTGAATGATGTTTTTTTTTATAATTTATGTTAATATCTGCAGTGGTGTTATGACACGAAGTGCGTGGAGATCGGTGAACGTCCTGCTGCGATAAACGGCGGTTGGAGCGATTGGGGTAGTTATACGGATTGTTCGAGGACGTGCGGCGGTGGAGTGTCCTATTCCAGCAGGGATTGCAACAATCCGAAGCCGCAGCACAAGGGAAGATATTGCATGGGCGAACGCAAACGTGTGAAGATCTGCAACGTCAGGGTGAAATAATAATATTACCGAAAATATGCCGATGGTTTTATGTAATTTTCTTCTATTTTTTTTCTTTTGTTTCTCCTCCTCCTCCTCCATCCCCCAAAATCACGAATGTGCGGATTAGCCGTGTCCAGAAGGGGTTCCCTCCTTTCGAACTGTGCAGTGCGCCGAGCATGACAAAAAGCCGTTTCAGGATAAGCTTACCACCTGGAAACCCTTCAGAAAGGATAGTATGTATTTTTTTTATGTAATCCTATACAGTTTACGTTCGTTTTCGATTTTTTTTTTCATATAAAAGAAGTTTAAGCCCTGCACATAATATGTATAATTTTATGAGACAAGACTAATAGTTACAATAGAATAAATTCTAAAAAAGGTTAATATTTAGAGCATTTGAAGAAGCAACGAAGATCCTATCCAACGCGATACTTGTCAAGTAAAAAGTGAAGTACTTTAAGTATAGTTTCTGTAGTACTCGTAAATATTTAAATGTCCATGACTCTTATATGTAATTTTCTTTTAGTACTCTTCAAGTATTTGGATCCCACATAGCACCTTAAGTGGTTATGTCGTATATATTCGTCATGGTATATTGTATTGCGTACTGCTTAAACGAAAATATAACGCTAGCGACAAAAGTACAAGGAGAGGCACTTCATCAAACCGCTTAATGTCCTTCACTATACCTAATACGTAGATTCTCATTATATTCACGCGATACTTGTCAAGTAAAAAGTGAAGTACTTTAAGTATATTTTATCTAGTACTTTTCAAATCTTTCATAATATTCATGGCTCTCATATGTAATTTTATTTTAGTATTTTTCAAGTATTTGGATCCCGCTTAGTCCCTTAAGTGATTATGTCGTATATATTCGTCATGGTATATTGTATTGCGTACTGCTTATGACGAATATATTCGCATCGTGAATGAAAATATAACGCTAGAGACAAAAATACAGGGAGAAGCACTTCATCAAACCGTTTAATGTCCGTCACTATACCTAACACGTAGATTCTCATTATATTTACGCAATACTTATCAAGTAAAAAGTGAAGTACTTTAAGTATATTTTATCTAGTACTTTTCAAATCTTTAAATCTCCCATAATATCCATGACTCTCATATGTAATTTTCTTTTAGTACTTTTCAAGTATTTGGATCCCGCTTAGTCTCTTAAGAGGTTATGTCATATATATTCGTCATTGTATTGCTTACTGCTTATGACGAATATATTCGCATCGTAAACGAAAATATAACGCTAGCGACAAAAATACAGGGAGAAGCACTTCATCAAACCGCTTAAAGTCCTTAACTATACCTAACATGTAGATTATCATTATATTCGCGGGATACTTGTCAAGTAAGAAGTGAAGTACTTTAAGTATAGTTTCTCTAGTACTTTTCAAATCGTTAAATCTCCCATAATATCCATGACTCTCATATGTAATTTTCTTTTAGTACTCTTCAAGTATTTGGATCCCACTTAGCCCCTTAAGTGGTTATGTCGTATATATTCATCATGGTATATTGTATTGCGTACTGCTTATGACGAATATATTCGCATCGTAAATGAAAATATAACGCTAGAGACAAAAGTACAGGGGAAGCACTTCATCAAACCGCTTAATGTCCTTAACTATACCTAACATGTAGATTATCATTATATTCATGGGATACTTGTCAAGTAAGAAGTGAAGTACTTTAAGTATAGTTTCTCTAGTACTTTTCAAATCTTTAAATCTCCCATAATATCCATGACTCTCAAATGTAATTTTCTTGTCGTATATATTCGTCATGTGCTATTGTATTGCGTTCTGCTTATGACGAATATATTCGCATCGTAAACGAAAATATAACGCTAGCGACAAAAATACAAGGAGAGGCACTTCATCAAACCGCTTAATGTGTTCACTATACCTAACACGTAGATTCTCATTACATTGATGACCATCACGTACAGTTTCTTAAGTTTTTGTTTCTCCTACAGTACATTTGTTGAAGCTACATGATAAGTATTACTTTTAGCTTTGAACTACAAGTAAATCATTCCATAAAGCAATCTGTATAAATCACAAAGGCATTTATTGCTGTACAAACGATAAGTAAACAATTAGAAAATACAGCAATTACATGGATGTCGTCCGTTAATTAAGCATTTACGAGAAGGTACATTCG